GAAAGTTTTCCTGAGGATGCTTCAAAAGATTTCTGTAAGTGCCCTAACAGCAATTAAACATTGAGATTCTAGCTGCATGGTCAATATCCAAGGCCAGTGTTAGCTGGGGGGTGACGACAGCAGTGCCAGGTATACATGAAGGTATTTACTCCTTGATTGTGACCCCAATTCCTGACCAAGATGTAGGGGGTGAAATCACCAGCATGGGTTGGGCACAGTGGCTCACGCCTGTAATCCCAGCATTTGGGAGGTCAAGGTGGGCTGATCACCTGAGGTCAGGTGTTCGAGACCAGCCTGACCAACACAGAGAAACCCTGTCTCTACTAAAAATACAAAATTAGCCGATCGTGCTGATGCATGCCTGTAATCCCAGCTACTTGGGAGGCTGAGGCAAAAGAATTGCTTGAACCTGGGAGGCAGAGGTAGCTGTGAGCTGAGATAGCGCCATTGCACTCCAGCCTGGGCAACAAGAATGAAACTCCATCACACACACACACACACACACACACACACACACACACACACACACACACAAAAGAAAAAGAGAAAGAAAGAAAGAATTACCAGCACGTCTCCTGCTTCCTCTGGATTCCTTGCTTGATGCATAGAAGAGTGTTTAGACAGCCATGATAATATTTATTTTTGTGACTGAGTTTTCTAAACACATGGCTGGAATGGGTAAGAAAAGGGAGGAAAGGTGTGTGTGTAGGGGAAGCATAAATGGACAGGAGGGATGGGAGGGAAGGAGAATATTCATGGCTTCTAAGGTTGAAGTTTTGTTTCATTTATTTTATTTCATTTTACTTTTAGAAACAGGGTCTCACTGTGTTGCCCAGGCTGGAGTGCAGTGGTGCAATCAGAGCTCACTGCAGCCTCGATCTCCTGGGCTCAAGCGGTCCTCTCAACTCAGCCCCCTGAGTAGCTGGGACTATAGGTGTGCACCATCATGTCCAGCTAATTTTTTCAATTTTTTGTAGTGATGGGATCTTGCTATGTTGCCCAGGCTGGCCTCAAACGCCCAGCCTCAAGTGATCCTCCTGCCTTGGCCTCCCAAAGTGCTGAGATTACAGGCCACTGCACCTGGCTTATGATTGACGTTTTAAAATGAAGGAAAGTGTACTGGACATTTCACACCTTTAAAAAAATGACTAGAGAGCTATGGGATCTGGCCAAGAGGTTATTAAGTACAGTGAAAATGAAATCCAGTGTCAGAGGAGAAAATAAAATAATCTCATGTTAATACCCTCATTCTTAGACTGAAAATATACTTCTCTCAGTAGCAGACTGCTGCACTAATTGAAAGTCTACTACCTCTTGTTGATAGATCGGTTTAAATATTTTCGATTCTTTTTTTTTGCATAAGTGATGAATTAGCTTGTTCACGCTTCCCTCACGCACATGCCTTTCCTCCGTTATCCTGCCCATCCAGCTATGCGTTTAGAAAAATCAATCATAAAAATTTATGTTATTATGGCTGTGTAATTGTTGTTCACTAGTGGGCCAGACGTTTTTATGATTACATGTCCTCTCTTGGAAATGCAGGAGAGTAAATAATTACGTTGTCTTTTACTCGCAGTGTTCCAATGTACACGTCATTGAATTTTACCGTCAGATCTGCCAGTTTCCTATATACGGTTATTTTCTCCCCAAAGGCTCACACGTGTGAAGTTTTTATATCATTTCCCCTACCCCCCACCCCACCCCAAGGCCAAGAATTAACCCTCCTGAAAGTTTCATCTGTGGCCTCCCCAGTAGCAGGGACTACAGGTGTGCACCACCACGCCCAGCTAATTTTTGTAGTTTTAGTAGAGGTGGGGTTTCACCATGTTCTCCAGGCTGGTTTTGAACTTCTGACCTCAAGTGATCTGCCTGCCTTGGCCTCCCAAACTGCTGGGATAACAGGCGTGAGCCATTGCGCTAGGTCAAGTCTATAGTATAATGGTTTTTTACAGATTTCTGGACAAAATTTAATTTAAAAAAATTCGAATTTATATTAGTTCAACCAAAAAGAATGCATTTTAGAGACATGTAGAGTTCTAGACCCAAAGTATCAGACGGAACCTGGCTGAACAGGTGTAGGGGATATAGAAGAAGTCAACATTTGGTAGGGAGAGAAGCTGGGATGACTGGAATTACTAAGATGTTTCCACTAGAAAATGCTCTCAGAGACTGCTGTCTGTCCCCCCCGTACCCAAGGGAGAAGCTTGGACTTAGCCTTGACTTTGTTTTTCCCATGCCTTTCCACAACCATTAAATCCTATGCTTCCACATTAAATCTTACACGTCCCTGGATTTTCTCAGCTCCACCCGCCTCTCTTCAGCGCCACTGCTGCAGTCTTGTCATACCCACGATTTCCTAACGGCTGCTGATGCCTCCCATCTAGAGAGATCCGCTCTGGTTCCAAGGTACAAAGAGACCGTGTGCATGGAGGTCTCCAGGTGCCTGTTCAGAAGGATGGATCTAAGGGCCGGAGAGAAGACAGGAAGGTACAGAGAAGCCATTCCCAGAGCGCAGTGATCAGAGAACGGCCAGACATCCTAGGGGCTTTCAACAGCATGGAGGAGGAGGGAGACGGGCTTTGAGTGTCAATCAGAAGGAACAAACTGGCTCTGAGATGGCTGGACTGTCCAGAAGTCCTAAAATTACCCTTGAGAAAGAATGCCTTTTAGTTTAGGTAGCCGGGAACCTGGGCAGTGGGTATTGAGAAGGCGTCTGGAGGAGTGCAGGAAGTTTATCTGCAAAACGATGGCAAGAACTGGAGTGAAGGGCCAGAGGAGAAGGATGGAAAACCAACTCAAAGATAAATCAGAGTCAACTACTGCTGTGGAAGACTGGAGCTTGCTCCCTGGGCCTAGAACCGATAAGAACTTGCACTGTGTAAATAAACCTTGTATGGGTCGGGCACAGTGGCTCATGCCCATAATCTCAGCACTTTGGGAGGCAGAGGCTGGTGGATCACGAAGTCAGGAGTTTAAGACCAGCCTGGCCAAGATGGTGAAACCCCATCTTTCTAAAAATACAAAACTTAGCCAGGCAAGGTGGCGCACGCCTGTAATCCCAGCTACTCGGGAGGCTGAGGCAGGAGAATCACTTGAACCTGGGAGATGGAGGTTGCCGTGAATGTGCCACTGCACTCTAGCCTGGGTGACAGAGCAAGACTCTGTTCCCCAAAAAAGAAAAAAAAAATAGCTCACCAGAGTAGTCACTGGTGTCAGGGATGGAGCTGAAAAAACTTGCACCTAAGATTGGTCCAGTGTTTTCAAGGAGTCCCGAGAGGCTCATGTTCCATGAGGCTAGTCAGTTTCAGTTCATTGTCACTCAGTTCCAGCTCAATGGTACCACCAGGGGTGGTGTGGGACTGAGCATTTGCTGCAGTCTACTGACTCCTTCTCTCTTCCAGTCTTCCTGTGCCCCAGAAGAGTGACCTGCTTGGACCACAGCAACGGGCTTCTTCCTTCCCCAGCTTCTGAGTGGACGCAGCCCATGGGAGAAGGCAGAGAGGAGTCAGGGCTTTATCGTCCAGGCTCCATTCCTGCAAGATTGCCATGGCCTGGCTGTATCCCTCCATGAAATGCTATAGCTCAGTCAGTCCTTCCTCTCTGCGCTCCGCTAACCCCGTCCTCCCCCTTTTGTCTCTGAGGTCAAAGCTGTGTCTATGGCTCCTCTCATTAAACTTTCCTGCAGTGATCCAGTTTGAACATGCCATCTAGATCTAGGGCCTCTATGGGATGGACTAGATTTCTCAATCAGGATCAATTCCAGAGGAGAGTTGAGGTGGGATCCGAGATGCAGCAGTGCATTTGGGGGAACCAGCCAGCCTGAAAGACCATCCTCAGCAAGGGAGGTGAGGAGGTTGCAATCTGATGTCAGGGAAGCACTGGAGGCTCAGTTCTCTCCAGAAATTAATTAATTAATTAATTGTCACCCAGGCTGGAGTGCGGTGGTGCAATCTCAGCTCACCGCAGCCTCCACCTCTGGGGTTAAAGCGATTCTCTTGCCTCAGCCTCCCAAGCAGCTGGGATTCCTGGCAATGAACCACCATACCCAGCTAATTTTTGTATTTTTAGTAGAGATGAGATTTCACCATGTTGGCCAGGCTGGTCTCAAACTCCTGACCTCAAGCGGTCCACCCACCTTTGCTTCCCAAAGTGCTGAGATTATAGGCATGAGCCACTGCGCCTGGCCCCTCCAGAAATTTAGACCTGGGCTGAGGAGCGGCACTTCATATCTAGACTCCCCTCCTCCCTATCTAGAGAGGCAGGCACTCCTAACACTGCCAGTCTGAACTCTAAGGTGCTGGACAACTTACTGGAGAGGGCTGTTGGAACAGATACATAGCCAGGAGGTCGCATGGTTACAACCAGGTTCCCAGAATTTTGTCATAGAGCACAGGCAAACCCCAGGTTGGAACACAGGCGTGTGTGCGTTGAACATGCACCTATATACGACAGGTTCTTTACCTGTATCCCCATTTATTCCTCATAACTACCCTTGAGGCTGCTTTTTTCATCCCCATTTTATGGATAAGAGGCATGAGGCTTATGACAGGTCACCAAATATCCCCAGATCACACGGACAGCAACTTGTGATTTGTGCAGAAAGATTCTCACTCCTTTGCTGTTTCCACTGGACTAAGCTAGTCCTTGAATGCTCACCAGGGTGTCCTCTGGTAGCGCTTTAGGGTAAGGACATCTGCTAGGTGGCTATTGGATTATCCTGCAATTTGGTAGCATGTTATAAGTGAAATATACACCAACTCATTCCTTCCTGAGCTCACTGCCGGCTGTGTAGATAAACCTGTTGAATGTTTCTCCCCCATCCGTCCTCACGACCCCCACCTTTCAGCCAAGTCTCCACTAACACTGATCTGAAGGGTAATTTTCTTGTCAACTGTATAATTAATGGGCCGCACACTACCGTGGCCCTCTGTTATTCTGCTTCTCGAAGATATATTTCAAAATGAATAGCTGTTTAACCAATCACTCGGCAGATGTCTTACCCTTAGGTGTTTCTGTCTGTCAGCGTTTTCACACATCGAGACTGAAGTAGGCAGAATCAATTTGGATATCGGCTCTGGGAAAGGGAAAGCAGCCACGAATTAGAAATTCTTGGAATATCAGAACTTGTCGCCTATTAGTGCTGAATGGCGTGTGAGTTGCCCTTGCAAGCTCCTTGGCCCTACGCTCTGGCACTCAGGCATTGTCTGCCAATTTTAATAAAGCCAGAAGAGGTCTTTTGTGGTGGCTTTAAGATAATGTCTTGTACAGCATGCATGTCTGATCTCTTGCAGTAATCAGAGCATTTATTTTGCTGTTCCCTGCACAAAGGCTCAAAGCGGTAGTTTTACAAGAGAATTTCAAAACTACTGACAACCCTGGGAATGTGAGAATGAAAAAGGCTGCATTTTTTCAGAAACAAAATCCTGACACATCAGCGGGGTGCTTTGGAGGTGCCTTTTATGGGAAGGGAGTTTTGCCACAGCTTGCTAATGTAGAGGATGACACAAAGGATTTGGGAGATATGTTCAGTTATTGGAACCAACATCTCCAACTGAGCCAGCCTCCTGCCCTGCCCAATACTGATGGCAGAGGTAATTGTAGAAACCTTATTGGTACCTAGTTCTTGTGCCTGCGCCCTACCATGGAAGTCACCCGCAGAAATCCTGTATTAGTCTGTTTCACACTGCTGATAAACACATACCCGAAATTGGGTACTCTTTTTTTTTTTGAGATGGAGTTTCACTTTTGTTGCCTAGGCTGGAGTACAATGGCACAGTCTCCGCTCACTATAACCTCCGTTTCCCAGGTTCAAGCGATTCTCCTGCCTCAGCCTCCCAGGTAGCTGGGATTACAGGAACGTGCTACCACACCTGGCTAATTCTGTATTTTTAGTAGAGATGGGGTTTCTCCATGTTGATCAGGCTGGTCTTGAACTCTCGATCTCAGGTGATCTGCCTGTCTTGGCCTCCCAAAATGCTGGGATTACAGGCGTGAGCTACTGTGCTAGGCCAAGACTGGGTAATTTATAAAGAAAAAGAGGTTTAATGGACTGACAGTTCCATGTGGCTGGGGACGCCTCATAATCATGGCAGAAAGTGAAAGACGTGATTTACATCACAGCAGGCAGGAGAGAGAATGAGCACTAAATGAAAGGGGTTTCCCTTCTAAAACCATCAGATCTTGTGAGACTTGGTCACTATCATGAGAACAGTCTGGGGGAAACTGCCCCATGATTCTATTATCTCAGAACTGCAAAGGCCTGGTGGTGGCATTTAACTGATGGGGCAAGGCAGAGATAATCATTATTGTGGGCAATAAAGCTAGCATGGCAGCCAGTGTACCCCGACCCACAGGGATCTATCACAATAACCATGGCATTCCTAGAGACAAGACGGAATGTTGTCTAGGGTGTTATATGATGTGGATAACCAGGAGAAAAATTAGTAAGAAGAAAACTGGTAGCTGGTACACCAGAAAGCCGATGCCAGCTTCTGCTATGGAAGTCGTGATGACTGAGTTTTCAGAACAAAGCCAGACGCTCTATGAAGGAGGGAGACAAGTTAGTTCAAGGGAGGATTCTGCAGCCACGAGCATGTAGAGCGTGTGAGCGCCCAAAGGAAGCTTCGGTCAGAGGGAGGATTCTGTAGCCACACCACGAGCATGTAGAGCGTGTGAGCGCCCAAAGGAAGCTTCGGTCAGAGGGAGGATTCTGTAGCCACACCACGAGCATGTAGAGCGTGTGAGCGCCCAAAGGAAGCTTCGGTCGGAGGGAGGATTCTGCAGCCACACCACGAGCATGTAGAGCGTGTGAGCGCCCAAAGGAAGCTTCGGTCGGAGGGAGGATTCTGCAGCCACGAGCATGTAGAGCGTGTGAACGCCCAAAGGAAGCTTCGGTCGGAGGGAGGATTCTGCAGCCACACCACGAGCATGTAGAGCGTGTGAGCGCCCAAAGGAAGCTTCGGTCAGAGGGAGGATTCTGTAGCCACGAGCATGTAGAGCGTGTGAGCGCCCAAAGGAAGCTTCGGTCAGAGGGAGGATTCTGCAGCCACGAGCATGTAGAGCGTGTGAGCGCCCAAAGGAAGCTTCGGTCAGAGGGAGGATTCTGTAGCCACGAGCATGTAGAGCGTGTGAGCGCCCAAAGGAAGCTTCGGTCGGAGGGAGGATTCTGTAGCCACACCACGAGCATGTAGAGCGTGTGAGCGCCCAAAGGAAGCTTCGGTCGGAGGGAGGATTCTGCAGCCACACCACGAGCATGTAGAGCGTGTGAGCGCCCAAAGGAAGCTTCGGTCGGAGGGAGGATTCTGCAGCCACGAGCATGTAGAGCGTGTGAACGCCCAAAGGAAGCTTCGGTCGGAGGGAGGATTCTGCAGCCACACCACGAGCATGTAGAGCGTGTGAGCGCCCAAAGGAAGCTTCGGTCAGAGGGAGGATTCTGCAGCCACACCACGAGCATGTAGAGCGTGTGAGCGCCCAAAGGAAGCTTCGGTCGGAGGGAGGATTCTGCAGCCACACCACGAGCATGTAGAGCGTGTGAGCGCCCAAAGGAAGCTTCGGTCGGAGGGAGGATTCTGCAGCCACACCACGAGCATGTAGAGCGTGTGAGCGCCCAAAGGAAGCTTCGGTCGGAGGGAGGATTCTGCAGCCACACCACGAGCATGTAGAGCGTGTGAGCGCCCAAAGGAAGCTTCGGTCGGAGGGAGGATTCTGCAGCCACGAGCATGTAGAGCGTGTGAGCGCCCAAAGGAAGCTTCGGTCAGAGGGAGGATTCTGCAGCCACACCACGAGCATGTAGAGCGTGTGAGCGCCCAAAGGAAGCTTTGGTCAGAAGAACTATGCACTGGAAATAGCCAGACCTTTTAAGAGCTGTGTGGGAGGTAGTGTGAGGTGACATTGATAGCAGGGGACCTGAAATATTCACAAGATCCCTTGTTTGGTAGGTGGCTTATGGAAACCAAGTGACAGATAGAGGTTTGACCCAAGTCTGTGTCACAGAGAGCTCAAGCGATTTCCAGAACCACCCTGTAGGTGTCCTCCCAGTCTCCAAGTTCGCCATCTTACAGATACATGGAATATTCATGTTGGTTTTCTGCCCTATGTGGTAATATCTTGTATTTTAAAAAGATCAAGTAAAAGCCTGTTTTGTGTGGGAGATGCATGAGGGGAAAGGAAAAGGCGCACACACAATACTTTTTTTTTTTTTTTTTTGAGACAGAGTCTTGCTCTATCGCCTAGGCTGGAGTGCAGTGGCCCAATCTCAGCTCTCTGCAACCTCCACCTCCCGGATTCAAGCAATTCTCCTGCCTCAGTTTGCCAAGTAGCTGGGACTGCAGGCGCATACCACCACACTTGGCTAATTTTTGTATTTTTAGTAGAGATGGGGTTTCATCATGTTGGTCAGACTGGTCTTGATCTCCTGACCTCAGGTGATCTGCCCGCCTCAGCCTCCCAGAGTGCTGGGATTACAGGCGTGAGCCACACGCCCAGCCCCACACAATACTTTTAATGGTAAACAACCTTTATCCCATGTAAATGGCAATACAGCTATAACAAGCAAATGATATAATAAGCAAATTACAATGGGAAGGGGAGAAGGGAAAAATACATATAAATAGAGAAAGAAAGATAGACAGATATATAGATGATAGATAGATAGATAGATAGATAGATAGATAGATAATTTACACTCACCAGACTATGGAGGACTCATCATCGACCAGGAAGCAACCGTGTGGGCTCCAGAGTTGGCCACCAATCCGTGCACAGACAAGGAGAGGTCTCATGAGGCTTCGGTGCGGTCTGGGATCCTTGTTTTTTTTTGTAACGAGTTGTTTGTCATGAGTCCAAGTCACGAAGGCCCTTCACAACTGGTCTCAAGGAACACAAAGAGGTCAACTTGTTTTTGCGATTGTCTGTTGTTTTTCAATCACTAACACATAGGAATGGACTGAAAAAGAGATTCCTCTGAAGCAGAGTGGGATGAACGCCTCAAGGAGCTCATGCAACCTGTTCTGGGACATGGCGACCATTGTTTGTGTCCACGTTCATTTGAGTTCAGATTTAATATTTAACTTTGCCTCCCCAAAACCCAAAGCCGTAGTGTATTCCAAGAGGAACTGAAGCAATAAATAGCGCTTGCAAGGAGTTAAATGATGCAAGCGTGGTGATTCCCGCCAAATCCCATCAGCTCATCAACAAGGGCGATCTGCTTTCTGATGGATGACAGTGCGCTGTTTTATCACCTTCACCAGGTAATAGCCCCAGTTGCAACTGCCATCCCGGATGTGATATGTTTACTAGAACAGACCAGTACAGCATCTGACACTTGATGTGTGACAATCAATATGGCAAATACATTCTTTTCAGTCCCTACCATTGAGGAAGACGAACTTGTACATTGCAAGGACAGTAATACACATGCCACTTGCCCCGTGTTAACTTACCTACTCTTTGTGATAACGTTTTCCACGGGGACCTTGGTCCCTCCTGACATTCCACATAACATCACAGTGGTCTGCTATATCATGACATAGTGATCGTTGAATTTGGTGAGCAGGAAGTGTCACGTACTCTGGATGCACTAGGATAATACATGTTGCCAAAAGATGAAGGAGAAAATCTGTGAAATTCAGAATTCTGCCATATTCATAAAGTCCTTATGGACACAGTCAGTGGTCTGGAGCATAAAGGGCGAAGCTTGTGAGCCACGTGGCCCCCATCATTAAGAAAGAGGCACTGTGAGGCCGGGCACAGTGGCTCATGGCTGTAATCCCAGCATTTTGGGAGTCCGAGGCTGGCAGATCATCTGAGGTCAGCAGTTCAACATGAGCCTGACCAACATGGAGAAACCTCCTCTCTACTGAAAACACAAAATTAGCTGGGCGTGGTGGTGCATACCTGTAATCCCAGCTACTCAGGCTGAGGCAGGAGAATCGCTTGAACCTGAGAGGTGAAGGTTGCAGTGAGCTGAGATCACACCATTGCACTCCAGCCTGGGCAACAAGAGCAAAACTCTGTCTCAAAAAAAAATAAAATAAAATAATAAAGTATTCCATGTGTCCCACTCTGCATTCCCTTATTTTATCTGTTGTCTGATTTGCCAATGTATAAATTGACCGTACCTTGACTCACGTGCAGTACATGGGTCACTACTTTTAATGGCAAAAACTGCAATTGCTTTTGCAGCAACCTGATATTTTTGGGAGTTGTGACAAAGACTGTGTGACCGTAGGACCCACTGTTTCTATCACAAATGACATCGCCCTGAGGCAGTCACTCTACTACAACACATAAACGAACTCTTCAAGTCTTGGCGAATGTGCCAGCTCAAGGAAGAGAATCCTGTTGGACTGGAGGCTTGTCCTCCAGGGTGCAGTATATGCAGTGAAGCCAGTACACGCTGCTATGTCCCCAGGAAACTCTAATGCCTGGATCCAGGAACCAACAGGTGAAAGTGAGTTTGGATCCTCCTACTATCTCTCTTTTTTTTTGAGATGGAGTTTTGCTCTTGTTGCCCAAGCTGGAGCGCAATGATGCGATCTTGGCTCGCTGCAACCTCTTCCTCCCTGGTTCAAGGCCTGATGCGCCTGCCTCAGCCTCCTGAGTAGCTGAGATTACAGGCCTGCACCACTACATCTGGCTAATTTTGCATTTTTAGTAGAGATGGAGTTTCACCATGTTGGTCAGGCTGGTCTCAAACTCCTGACCTCAAGTGATCTGCCTGCCTCAGCCTCCCAAAGTGCTGAGATTACAGGCATGAGCCAATGTACCCGGCCTCTCTCACTGTCACTCTTAATGACACATTTAAAATATTTATGACTCGGCACGGTGCAGTGTCTTACTCCTGTAATCCCAAGCACTTTGGGAGGCTGAGGCAGTCAGATCACTTGAGCTCAGGAGTTTGAGACCAGCCTGGCCAATGTGGTGAAACCCCGTCTCTACTAAAATACAAAAAGTTAGCTGGGCATGGTGGCAAGTGCCTGCAATTCCAGCTACGCAGGATGCTGAGGCAGGGCCACTGCACTCTGGCCTGGGCAACAGAGTGAGACTCCATCTCAAAAAGAAAAAAAACTGTGACTTTTCTTCCTGAAACTTTAGTCCCTGCTGGAATAGAAGTTCTGGTTTCTAAGGAAGAAATTCTCCCACTAGGGGTCACAGTAAGAATTCCAGTAATCTTGAAACCACAGCTATCACCTGGGTATGCTGGGCTCTTCATCTGTATGGACCAGAAGGCCAAGAAGAAAATCTCAACTTTTGAAGAAATATTGTATTAATACTTTCCTGATTACCATGAGGAAACGAGGCTACGGCTGCACACTAGGGGGACAGAACATGAGCAGTGATTCCTCTTGGTGCTTCTATGCAAACCCAGTTCAGGAAAAGCAAAGCAAAGAAGGGTTCAGACCGCTTGCACAAAAAGATCTTCCTGTAGGCCCTCCTGTTTAGTAAGTATTCAGGACTTACTGAGGTGCTGGCCGAAGTGAAGAGGGTCTAAAAGAATGGTCAACTGGCCGGGTGCAGTGGCTTGTGCCTGTAATCCCAGCACTTTGGGAGGCCGAGGCAGGCGGATCACCTGAGGTCAGGAGTTCGAGACCAGCCTGGCCAACATGGTGAAACCCCGTCTGTACTAAAAATACAAAAATTAGCTGGGCGTGGTGACCTGCACCTGTAGTCCCAGCTACTTGGGAGGCTGAAGCAGAATAATCGCTTGAACCCGGGAGGCGGAGGTTGCAGTGAGCTGAGATCACACCACTGCACTCCAGCCTGGATGATAGAGCGAGACTCCATCTCAAAAAAAAAAAAAAAAAAGAATGGTCGATTGACGAGATAGATGTATTCCACTTTAAAGACCAGTTGCAATAACCAGAATTGTGGCTTAGTCCATTAACCCACTGTATCAGATGGGTTGTACAGATTGCTGCCAGCTGCCTGACTCATTGAAAAGGTCTGAGACGAACTGAACGTAGTGGTGAGCTTGAGCAGTTCATAGTCATGCAACTATCGTGGGTATCCCAAGTGCCCCACGTTACATCCCCTTAGTTCATCTTTTGTCTGATTCGTCAGTGTATAAATTGACAGCACCTTGAGTCAGGGGCACTGCAGAGGTCTTGCTTTACATCAAGAGCTTCTTTGATGTTGCAACATGGGACCCCTACAGGAATCCTGTGGACACTTATTCGTGTGTATTCTGGAGGTATGAAAACATTAACACCCTATGGGGCAATCTCTGACCAACTAAGATGTGGACCAGTGAATTAATGCTTTTCTCATCTGACTCTCAGGTGAATAGTTCTAAAGCTCCTAGCTCACCCCCAATTTCCCTTAGCAGTGACTAGCTTGATAAATGAGCCTTGTATTGATTGTTTTTTTTGAGATGGAGTCTTGCTCTATCTCTAGGCTGTAGTGCACTGGTGCGATCTCGGCTCACTGCAGCCTTCACCCCCCGGATTCAAGCAATTCACCTACTTCAGCCTCCTGAGTAGCTGGGACTACAGGCACCCACCACCATGCCCAGCTAATTTCTGTATTTTTAGTAGAGACAGGGTTTCACCATGTTGTCCAGGATGGTCTCGATCTCTAGACCTCGTGATCCACTCGCCTCTGTCTCCCAAAGTGTTGGGGTTACAGGCGTGAGCCACCATGCCCGGCTTGATTTTTATTCTGCATTAGATAGCTTTTGCTGTATAACAAACCATTCCAAATCTCAGTTGCTTAAGATAACCATTTATTTGACTCACAGGTGTGTGGATCAGATGGGTGTTCTGCTGATCGATTCCAGACTTAGCTGATCTCAGCTGGGCTGGCTCATGCATTCTGTGGGCAGCTGCTGAGTCAGCTGCATACAGGATGGGCTAGGGCAGTCTCTGCTGAGTCATTGTTAGCCTGGGATTCTTCACATTGGAGGTTTCAGAGTCCCAAGATAACCGAAGGAGGTGTGCAAAGCCTGTTGATGTCTAGGCTGAAACTGGAGCAATGCCACTTCTGACACATTCTATTTATCACGAAAATCACGAGGTTAGCTCAGATTAAAACATACTCTATCTCTGGATGAAAGGCGCCGTAAGGCTGCACTGCAGAACTTACACACAGTGAGGGGAATAATGGTAACCATTTTTGCAAATATTCGCTACACTTTCGATGACTGTGAGTTTGATGCGTCAGCTTGGGTAGCTATTTAATCAAAGAGGAATCTAGACATTGCTGTGAAGGTATTTTGTAGATGTGGTTAACGTTATAACCACTTCGCTTTAATTAAGGGGGATTACCCTTAGTAATGTGGCTGTGTCAGAGGCATGTGAACCAGACCAACTCCATCTTGAACAGGACCTGGGTGAAATGAGGCTGAGACCTACTGGGCTGCATCGCCAGATGGTTAAGACCTTCTAAATCACAGGATGAGATAGGAGGTCAGCACAAGATACAGGTCATAAAGTCCTTGCTGATAAAACAGTTTGCAGTAAGGAAGCTGGACCAAACCCACCAAAATTAAGATGGCGATGAGAGTGGCCTCTGGTCATCCTCACCGCTACACTTCCACAGTGCTGTGACAGTTTACAAATGCCATGGCAACATCAGGAAGTTACCCTAGATGGCCTAAAAAAGGGAGGCATGAACAACCCACCCCTTGTTTAGCACATCATCAAGAAATAACCATAAAAATGGGCAACCAGCGGCCCTTGGGGTTGCTCTGTTTATGTAGTAGCTATTCTTTCTTTCTTTGGATGGAGTCTTGCTTTGCTGCCCAGGCTGGAGTGCAGTGGTACAGTCTTGGCTCACTGCAACCTCTGCCTCCCAGATTCAAGCGATTCTCCTGCCTCAGCCACCGGAGTAGCTGAAATTACAGGCACCTGCCACCATGCCGACCTAATTTTTTGTATTTTTAGTAGAGACCACCTTTCACCACCTTGGCCAGGCTGGTACTGAACTCCTGACCTCATGATCCGCCCACCTCAGCCTCCCAAAGCACTGGAATTACAAGTGTGAGCCATCATGCCCAGCCATTCCTTATTCTTTTACTTTCCTAGTAAACTTGCCTTCACTTTGCTCTGTGGACTCACCCTGAATTCTTTCTGGTGCCAGATCCAAGAACCCTTTCTTGGGGTCTGGATCGGGACCCCTTTCCTGTAACAGCTGGGCGTCATCCCATCATTTAAAAGACCTTAAGAGTAAGAACTGGCCGGGCGCGGTGCTCACACCTGTAATCCCAGCACTTTGGGAGGCCGAGGTGGATGGATCACGAGGTCAAGAGATCGAGACCATCCTGGTCAACATGGTGAAACCCCATCTCTACTAAAAATACAAAAACTTAGCTTGGCATGGTGGTGCGTGCCTGTAATCCCAGCTACTCGGGAGGCTGAGGCAGGAGAATTGCCTGAACCCAGGAGGCGGAGGTTGTGGTGAGCCAAGATCGCACCATTGCACTCCAGCCTGGGTAACAAGAGCGAAACTCCGTCTCAAAAAAAAAAAAAAAAAAAAAAAAAAGTAAGAACTGAGATTTCTCAAAGAAATTCTGTCTCAAGGCTGCACCATCAATTCGCCCTTGAGTGTCGCATCTGCTGGCCTGTCCTGTGGATTTCAGACTTGCCAGTTCCTATCATTGCGTGAGCCAATCCTTTAAAATAAGTCTCTTAGTGTTTTACAGATAGGTGTGGACAGATCTAATGTTTACAGGTAGGTTGATTGACTGACTGATTTTGTGTTTCTGGAATGCATGGCTGATAGACCTTTCTTCCCTGTGTACCTTTTCCAAGATCTCTTTCCCTGTTCCCTGGGATGACTTCCCAAAATAAGCTGCCCACAATAAGCCCCTGTCTGAGGTTCTGCTTTTTTGCAAGAACTCAGCCTAACCTGGTAGGCATTTAGAAAAAAAAAAAAAAAGTCATTTTTGCATTGTTTCAGGAAAAGTTAGTGATACCCCATTTGTTGTCCGACCATAAAGACTCGTTATTCAGAGAGAAGTTCAAAAATACTGAAACTGAACCTGAGTGATATATATATGTACTTGAAGCTTTATGGGAAAATTAAAAATGCAAATGGGAGATGTCAGAGCCATGAGCCGGGAATGGTGTCACCAACATCTGCAACAACGGAACGTTGTATTTGTCTTTGAGGTCATTTGGATTCTCAGTTATACGGAAGGCAGGTGGGGAGGACTCACCGCAGTGCATTCGGCTGAATGTCCCCTACATCTTCCCGCTCCCCAAATCTAACACTTGGCAATTTATCATGGCCTCAGGTAACCAGCCACTGGTGTTTCTTACCTGGCTTACCAGAGCCTCCTAACCCACCTCTGCGGTTCCACCCTCAGCCCCTTTCACTTGGTTCTTTCCCCAGAGGTCAGAGGGAACCCTGGTAAAAATGCTAAGTCAGATCACACAATTCCTCAACGCACAATCCCACCAAACTTCCATTGTTCTCGGGGTAAACACTGACACACAGTAGTTTTCAAGGCTTCACATGGTCTGGCCTCTGTTTGACTCTCTGGTCTCATGTCCTATTCTTTCTCTCCCTCACTTCAGCAACCCTGACCTCGCAGCTACTCCCCAAGCACTCTAGATGTGCTCATGTCTGAAGACCACACTGCCTGCTCTCCCAAAGTGCTCTTCCTCCGGGTGCCTACATGGCCTTCACATTCACATCTCCAAGGGACCCCATCTGCATTGTAGCACAGACACACATGGTGGAGATTTGTTAGTCAATCCCATAACTTTCTTTTTCTTTTCTTTTAATGAGACAGGAACTCACCGTGCTGCACAGGCTGGAGTGCAGTGACAGGATCATAGCTGACTGCAGCCTCGAACTCCTGGGCTCAAATGATCCTCCCACCTCAGCCTCCCAAGTAGCTGGGACTACAGGTATACACCGCCACACCTGGATAATTAAAAAAAATTATTTGTAGCAATGGGGTTTCACTGTATTGCCCAGGCTGATCTCAAACTCTTGGCCTTGAACTCCTGGCCTCAAGTAATCCTCCTGCCTTGGCCTCCTAACGTACTGAGATTACAGGCATGAAACACCATGCCCAGCCTCCCTAACCTTCAAGTTGGGGAAATAGAGAAACAAATAGGTTGAATGACTTCCCCAGGGTCTCACATCTGGTAGGAAAACTGGCAAAAGAAACTCTGTTTCATAGACCCTGTGTTGTAAGCGATGTTTCACAGAACAATTTCATTTAGAGAAAGAGGGTTTGCCAAGTGATCATCCAGAGAACATTTTCATCCATGTATCTAGGCATTGCCTGGTTCTATTAAGAGAACTGTGATGAAGAGAATGATGAATGCATATTGAATCCCACACTATGTGGGACACAGAGCTGGAAACCTTGCACCCCCCACCCCCCAACCCCCATGAACACAAGCTCAGCAGCACGAATCCCCGTGTGAAATGAATAGGGAGAGAAGCCGATCCCAGCCTTGTACTTTGTCTCTGTCTCATATTCAACATTCCCTGGCAGGTGCGGAGAATGACTCATTCCCCCTACTCCTCGGAAAATGTCCCTTTCATGTTTCATAAACAACAGCTTTGCTGTGCCATTGTCTCTGTTAGTTATTTTCATAATTCATAATTATCTTCGTTCTTAAAATGTAGACGTACATTTAAAAGCATGATCCAATCCAGCTTGATTGCCGCCACATTGTGTTCAAAGTAATTACCATTCATTTGGCTTTTGAGGCTGTTGAATGAATTTTCCACATGAGATTCCTTAATTTGTACATATTTTATTGCTATAAAATAGGTATTGGCAAGCTGCCTAAACTGCAGCGAAGGCCTTTAATTCCTATCACTCTGTGATAAAACAAACTGAGTGCAAACTGAGAAGCTTAAGATACAACACTTGAAACGGATTGGACTCCTTTTGCTAAACCAAGATTTCCCAGGTGTGAGACACAGGTAAGATTAAGGTAGCTTAGTTCAGGCTGAGAGCTCAGAATTGTTTTAGCATTTGTCTGAAAATGATAATGTCCCTCCGTGACGGTAAACCTTTCTCTTTCCTTGAGCTCTGATTCCTCAGAGAAAGAATGTTTGGAGAGAAAATGTATTAACATTTTTCACACATCGTGAGAGAAATCCAGTGAGGCACAAACAGAGCCAGGGAATTCTTGGTCACAGCAGAGACCTGGCTGGGCCAAGTGTTATGAGACCTGGCAAGGGGTTGGCGGGGAGAGTGTCAGGGAGGGAACTCTGGCAAGCTGTGTGGCCTTTGGAAAGCCTTTTACATCTCTGAATCCAGTTTGCTCCCTTGTAAAATTAAAAGGTTGGGAGAAGTGATTTGTAAATTTATTTGTAATTTGTTTTTCTGAGGTTATCGGTACCTTGGGTTTACTCGAGAGCTTTTGACTGAGGCTTTCTCTAGGGTTTTTGTTTTTGTTGTTTTTGGTATACATGGAAGGGGTCCAAGTCCAACTTTGTTACATGCATATATTGCATAGTAATGAAGTCTTGGCTTTTAGTATGTCCATCACCCAAGTAATGTACATTGTATCCCTTAAGCAATTTCTCATCCTCCAGCCCCACCCACCCTCCCACCTTTCAGAGTCTCCCATAGCTATCATTTCACACTCCTTTTACATGTATATACATTTATTTAGCTCCCACTTATAAGTGAGAACAAGTGGCATTTGTCTTTCTGTTCTGAGTTGTTTTGCACAAAATAATGGCCTCTAGTTCTATCTATGTTGCTGCAAAAGACATGATTTTCATTTTTATAAATAGTATTCCATTATGTATGTATAGAAAACACATGTTCTTTATCCAATCATCCATTGATGGACACAAAATCACAACTATATTGTTTCTTATGCATAGGAAACAGGACGTGAGATGGCAGGAGGCTGTCCTGAAACAGGAAGTGATCTATCAAGGGGCTGTTCTGAAACAGGAAGTGAGATGGCAGGAGACTGTCCTGAAACAGGAAGTGATCTGTCAAGGGGCTGTTCTGAAACAGGAAGTGAGATGGCAGGAGACTGTCCTGAAACAGGAAGTGATCTGTCAAGGGGTTGTTCTGAAACAGGAAATGAGCTGGCAGCAGGCTAAGTTGTAGAAAGGACTCAAGTGTTAGGTATATGACCTGCAAGGTTTTTCCTAATATAGAAATTCTTTGATTCCATGTGGTGAATGGACATTTTTTCCTGGCTTCATCAGGGGGATTTTCACCACCCTCTAGCCCAAATCCTTCCCACCATTTCTGGGTTTTCATGGGCATGTGCACATGCTTAGGCACTTACTGTCTGTGTTAGTCCAAACACAGTGTGCAATGCTGTAAAGGAATACCTGAGACTGGGTAATTGATCAAGAAAGAGGTGTATTTGGGTCACAGTTCTGCAAGCTGTATAAGCATGGTGCCAGCTTCTGCTTGGCTTCTGGTGAGGCTTCAGGAGGCTTTCACTCACCAGGAAAGGTGAAAGGGGAGCAGATGTGTCACATGGCTGGAGAGTAAGCAGGAGAGAGATGAGGGTGATTCCAAACTCCTTTTTAACATTCAGAGCTCATGGTAACTTATTACCACAGGAAGGGGACCAAACCATTCAGGATCTGCCTCCTGGACCCAAACACCTCCCACCAGGCCCACCTCCAACACTGGGGATCACATTTCAACATGAGATTTGGAGGGATGAATATCCAAACTGTGGCATTATCTTTGAAATCTGTCTCAGCTTTTTTCTGCTTTCCAAGAGCTATCCTTTTTAGCCTGATTTCAGGTAACTGGCATGATTTCCATGGAGTCATTTCCAGTGAATTCTACCCAGCAATAAAAGCACTTAGTTCCACAGTAGTCTATCCTGTTTTCTGGTGTTTAATACTTATTTCTCTTCTTTGTGCAACTAATTGTATATTCTTTAAGAGTTGAGGTGTCATACTACTATGCTCATCACAGCACTATTCACAATAGCTAAGTCATGGAACCAACGTAAGTGTCCATCAGTGGTTGATTGAATAAAGAAAATGTGGTGCATATACACTGTGGAATACTATGCAGCCATAAAAAGAATGAAATCATGCCCTTTGAAGCAAAATGAATGGAGCTAGAGACAATTATCTTAAGTTAACTAACTCAGAAATAAAAACTCTATGCTGAATGTTCTCTCTGATAAACAGGAACTAAACAATGGGTGCAGATGGATATAAAGATGGAAATAATAGACTCTGGGACTAGAAAGTGGAGAAGGTAGCAGAAGGGCAAGGGCTTGAAAAGTGCCCATCGGTGGGCATTTGGGTTGGTTCCAAGTCTTTGCTATTGTGAATAGTGCTGCAGTATACATGCATCTGCCTGTGTCTTTATGGTAAAATGATTTCTAATCCTTTGGGTACATACCCAGTAATGGGATTGCCGGGTCAAATGGTATTTCTGGTTCTAGATCCTTGAGGAATCGCCACACTGTCTTCCACAATGGTTGAACTAACATACACTCCTACCAACAGTGTAAAAGCATTCCTATTTCTCCACCTCCTCTCCAGCATCTGTTGTTTCCTTTTTAATGACTGCCATTCTAACTGGCATGAGATGATATCTCATTGTGGTTTTGATTTGCATTTCTCTAATGACCAGTGATGATGAGCTTTTTTTCATGTTTCTTGGCCTCATAAATACCTTCTTTTGAGAAGTGTCTGTTCATATCCTTCACCCAGTTTTTGATGGGGTTGTTTGTTGACACATATACACCATGGAATACTATGCAGCCATAAAAAGGATGAGTTCATGTCCTTTGCAGGGACATGGATGAAGATGGAAACCATCATTCTCAGCAAACTAACACAGGAACAGAAAACCAAACACTGCATGTTCTCACTCATAAGTGGGAGTTGAATGCTGAAAACACATGGACACAGGGAGGGGAACATCACACACTGGGACCTGTCAGAGGGTGGGGGGCTAAGGGAGGGATAATGTTAGGAGAAATACCTAATATAGGTGATAGGTTGATGGGTGCGCAAACCACCAAGGCATGTGTATACCTATGTAGCAAACCTGCACGTTCTGCACATGTAACCCAGAATTTAAAATATAATAATAATTTTTAAAAGTGTCCATTGGGTACCATCTTCACTCTTAGTAATGAGTACACTAGAAGTCCAATCCCATCAGTATGCAATCCACCCATGCATATGTACCCCCTAAATCTAAAATTAAATTAAATTAAATTAAAAAAGAAAAAATGTGGCATCATCTTCCATTTTTGGATTCACCATAGTGAGACTCAGAGCTGGTATTTAATAGATACTCATTGATGGATGGATCCAACATGAATTTTTTCACTTACTTATTTATCAGATATTTAATTGCCATATTTATTTATTCTCTCTGGATCCTAGCAATTGACTAGTCTGTTCTCTTCCATTGAAAACAGCCGTTTTTCTCTTTGACATTCTTTGCCACAAATCTTCATTACCACAGGCCCATAATTCCTCTATCGGATTATCAGTAAAATAAACACATGATGCTCTTTTTTCTTTCTGTGGTTTTCTTTTTAATCAGGGGTTCACTCTATTGCTCAGGCTGGATGCAGTGGCAGGTTCACGGCTCACTGTAACTTTGATGCCCATCCCAGGCTCAAGTGCTCCTCCCACCTCAGGCTCCTGAGTAGCTGGGACAATGGGCCATGCTAATTTCTTTTTTTTTTTTTTACATAGAGATGGGATCTCACTGTGTTGCCCAGGCTGGTTTCAAATCCTGTGCTCAAGCCATCCTCCAGCCTCAGCCTCCGCCTTCCAGTGTGCTGGGATTATAGGTGTGAGCCACCACACCCAGCACCAAACCCAAATCTTCATGAACATACCCGAGGGGGTTTTGACAATGAGTAGGAAGAGCTCCAGCCCTGGCCACTATAAACTGCTGACCGTAGCAAAACGAAATGTTGAAAGAGCATTTCCTA